AATAATTAAATTAAAATCAGTTGATGATGTAAAATGACCTGTTGTTAAAGCTGTTATAGCCGTTGGTCGTTGAACTGTGACAACATAATTCATTGCAGCCATTTCAAAAATTCAATAGATTTTTTTTTACAGTTTATTTCATAATAATAATTATCAACAACGGCTGAGTTTTTTATGATTGGTCATATATCGAAACTAATAAGAAAATCTATGTCAGAGGTCACTGCTAATTTTATCCATTTGTAACAAATCGAAAGCAAGTATCTATATAGAAACGACGTCACATTGTTTAGTCAATCAAAGAGTCCACATGACCTTGAATGCCTCACCCTTTTTCGGATGACATATATTTCGAAGAAATTGAGTCGAAAAAATATATATATATACCTACTTTTATTATTTACTCATTTTTCTGTAGATTTTAAATGAAATCGGTATCATTTTGTATCTCGAAAAAATAACATAGATGAATGATGATGATCTACATAAATTTAGAGCAACTATATTTCTGAGGTTTTTTTCTCATTAGTAACAGCTAGAAATAATCTGAAAAATCCTTGAAAACCAGTTTTCTGGCATTCGATTGAAGCTATTTGAAAATGATTTTATTTTATAGAACAAATGAGATGTCGTCTTGAGTCTCTTGATGATATTGCTTTATCGAACTATATTGAATTTATAGAATATCTAAGAAGTATTTTATTTTTTACTTTAATGAAAAATTTCAATGATTTCGTTCTATTTGACACAATCGAGTGTAGTTCGATAAAGAGATCAAATGAAACTTTTTTTAGACATAATAATTCAAGCAACTCTATTTGAATTTTTAGGTTCTCCAATCCTGGTAGAGAACATTTTTCCTAATTATGACCATTAAGCTCTAAGCTTTGTTTCGACACTAAATTTCTATTTTCTTTTTTAAGTAAGAATGTAATAGGATTTTTGTGTATTCATAAGTCTTTTAGATTGCTACTTGTGAGAATAGATTATAGTTGAAGAATTTATTCTTTGTAAATATTTCATTTGTTAGATCATAAAACAACTATTGATCTTTTTTTTTTTTAGACAACACTTTTTTGTTTGGTTTTTGAAAACTATTTATCACTTCCCAAGTAAGTAGATACAAGTTTGTTTTTTTTTTGAATAGCTTTGTAGTTGTAGAAATTTCCATTGTGACTGAAAACCTACTTTTATTGTATCACAATTGCACTCGAAAAAAAAATCTATTGAATTTCTCTATTGTAACTAATTCATAAGATGCATCGTGTCTCAATGTATTACATTTGAGGATATTGAAACTTCATAAAAATTCATACAATTTTGCAATATTATTCAGAAAAAGCTTTATTCACTTTATATATTTTGTTTCAGTGAATCAACAGGAGAATATCTTTAAAAACGACCAGGTAAAAAAAAACAGTATTTTTTTTTTCTATTTGTAAAATAGAAATAACTTGATAACAATATTCCAATGAAAAATTTTTTAAAGACAATGATATAATTAATTTCGATACGAAGAATAATATTTGTTATGCAAACCAGAGATTATTTTGTTTAATGTTCTATTGGATATATCTGAGCATGGACAAGAATATAAAATAATTTTAATCAATTTGAAATCATTTAATAGAATATCTCATGATCATTATTTATTTTTGTTCACGAATGATATTAATTATATAGCATTATTATCTTCTATTTCAACTTTTTATATAATGAAAACAAAAGAAATTATTATATACATTAAGATTTTCTTAATCTTTAAATTTATTTTATGTAACACAAACATTCTCTATGTTAAGATGACTAAGTCGACACTGAATCATGGTTCTTTGATGAAAATTATGAATATTTAGAAAAATAAATCTTATTATGAACAAGAAAATCTTCATTATCCGTTCGATTTGTTGAAGAGTATATCCTAAATATATGCTCTTGAATACTGTTACTTCAGTAAGTAATGTACAAACTATCTTATATTTGCCAAGAAGAATGATTGACTAGTGAAATCAATTCTTATTATTTTAAACTCGAATTTTATAATAAAAAAATCAAAATAAGTTTTGAAAATTTTCAATTAATTTTAGTAGAAGAAAATAATGTCATACGTGCCATTATTCATATTGAAAAATTACTTTTCATGAATGATATGAAATAATACTTAAATATCAATAATCAGTGAGTATTCAATATATTTAATATTTATATGGAAAATTTTTTTCTTCGATTTTTGAACGACATTAGAAGAAATACAATATACTATTGAGTCTTAATATTTCAAATAAGTTTTATATTTAACTTTATTTCTATTTTATTTGCTTTTGCATACGTTATTAATCCAAAACCACTACAAAGCGAATAGATCTTGATCTGTTGACTTTCTTCGTCAACGACAGAAAGAAAATAAGTCTGATATTTTTGTTTTTTTTGTTTTTTCCTACCACCTCCATCACGTATTTCATTCGTTTGAAGGTTTATTTCTTTTAGTTAGAAACTAAACATAAAACTATCATTTGATACATGATTTTCATCGAAAGTAAGAAAGATATTGTACAGAAAATATGAAGAAAAGTACCGGATGAGCCATAAATATATTTACGATAAAAATATTTGAATATCTTCATTACGGCTCGAGCAAATGAGCTGATCTTTTTTGATCAATACTAGAGGCATGTTTAAACTTTATATTCATAAAAACATGCCTAGAGAGACTCTTTGTTAAATATATTGTTTTTTTCCTATATGTGAAAAAGTAAAATGTTTTTTTGTGTTGGCATCAATAGTGATAATTAAGAAAGGGTCTCTTTAGAGATGTCTTTATGGATATAAACTTTGAACATGTCTCTATCATTGATAAAAAAAAATCAGCTCATTTGCTCGAGCCATAATGAAGATATTCAAATTTTTTTATCGCAAAGATATTTATGGCTCACTCCTGTATTAGTCGTGATGCTTAAGATGTCACTCATGCAAAAGTCAAGCAAAAATATGATTTACTTGAGTTAAACATGACCAGACAGACCTCGTGCTGCTCATTACGAATATATAGTTGTTAATTGTTTTTAGATTGTATTCTAGGCAAGAAATTTCAGAAAAAACAAAAACTACTCTTGCTTACGCTAAGTATTCACCATTAAAATTGTGATATGTTAGATAGCATCATTTCTCATAGATCATCTTTTTTTATTCTATCATTGTTGTGACGGCATCGTGTATAGGTATTCCATCTATATCTTTTTTGTTCTGTTGTCATGCATGAATGAATATGTTTTCGTTTCGTTCTGTATGAATCTTGTAGGTTCACTCTACGGCTTGTCCATACAACGCGACACTTGGCTGTTTAAGTCTTTGAAAAATTTTTTTTTCAATATTAGCAGATCCGAATATTTTATTAGATGTAGTTTGTTACGTTGATTATGAATTAGATAGTTTTTCTTTTTAAGAAAAATTGGGTTTTGGCATCGAAAAAATAGGTTTTAAATTTTTTGAAAAATTTTTGAATGACATATCATTCGATGTAGAATTTAATTCTCTACAAATTGATCTATTTGGTTTTGATTTTCGTCGCTAAGGAAAACTTGTGCCTTCTTGTACATTTTCCAATGTATTGTACAGTTAATGACCGCCCCTTTTGATGTAGCAACTTGGCTCTTGGGTAGGACGATTACATGTACGACAATGACCAATATTTATGAAAATCAAGTATATATGAGCGCGTTAAGTGTCTCAAAATTGATCGACAAAAAAACGTGTGTCACAGCGTTACGTTTGGACAAGCCGTCTAGTACTCTCTTGTCAGTTCTTGACTCTAGTACCTTCTAGAACATTCATTTTGTTCTCAACTCATATATATATATATATATATATATACCTGCCACTTGTATCAATAAATGGTGATTGTACATACATGATAAGATAAGACTTCTCACTGACTAATAACTGGTAAGTGATTGACTACCTTCACAGGCATCTACATGAGTTTGGCAACATTTGATTTAACTTGTTTTCATAAAACTCATTTTTGATTTGACTGACAATTTCGCCTTGCAAACTTGTCTTCCTTTTTGCAATAAAACTTGAAGTTGTTTTTCATATAGCATGCGAATCATAAAACCAATAAGAAAATACTTGCATAACCTTTTAATTTCATGTCTTCGCATTGTTGAGCAAACACATGTTTTTCACAGTGATGGTAAAATGAGCAAAAATAGAATTGTAATCAGAAAAAAATTATTGCAAAACGTTTACTTTTCAACTAAATGAATACAATATTCGAAGCCAGCATAGAAAGCCTGTCTCGAATGACCTACTTTTTGTCATAAAATATTTGATGTTGATAGAAAACATTTTATGACAAGAAATCAATTATTCATTGTAGTTTTATGCTGATTCTGAATACTGTATTCATTTAATCATAAAGATAAACTTTTTGCCGAAACATTTTCAAAATACAATCTTACTTTTGTTCATTTTACTATTGCTGTGAAAAACAGGAGTATTTCTCAACAAAACTACGACACGAAATTAAAAGAATATGTAACTTTTTTCCTATTGGTCTGATGGTTTGAATGCTACGTGGAAAATAGTTCTTGGTCTTATTGCAAAAAGGAAGATAGGTTTATAAGGCGAACGTATCAGTCTAATCAAAAGTGAGTCTTGTGAAAGTCAGCCAAATCAAATATTGTCAAAATCATGTAGATACCATACTTTAAGTGAAGAATACTCGGCGTAAGTTAGAGTGAATTTTTTCTTCTGGAATTTTTTGCCTAGAATAAAGTCTAAAAAATGATAACTATATATTCGTAATCAGCATCGTGAGTTCGATTCAGTCATGTATAATTCAATTAAAACTAATCTTTCTGTGACTTTTGCATTAGACGCACTTTACAGTATTTCATAATCATTTTTTTCTGATATAATTTCTATTGAAAATCATCATTTGAATATAGTTCATTCATTTTTTTAGACTAGAATTAGTTTGATAAAAATGTGTTTTCATTATGAAAAGATCATCGTCGAATAAATCAATTGATAAAAAACGGCAGCCAACAATAGTATCAACTGAATGTAAAATTTGTGGAGATTCAGCTATATATTCATTTTTTGGTGTTGTATCATGTAATTCATGTAAAGTATTTTTTAAACGAAATGCTCAACAAGGGCAGGTCAATTGAAAATAATTAATTTTCATTTCGACTATATTCAATGTTTACTTTTTCTTTTTGTCTTTCTTCAGAAAGCATTGAAATGTTATTGGAATGGTAATTGTGAAATAAATATCAATACTCGTCATGTATGTGCTTCTTGTCGACTTCGTAAATGTATTATGAATGGTATGCAAGCTGAAATGATTCGAGGATCTTATTCAAAAAAATATAAAATAAGGGAAAAAACAAATGATATGGTTAATCCAATACAAACAACAACATCAACAGTTGTAGCTAGATTAAATCAACTTGAACAGGTGAGATTATATCTGATTGTTTCATTTTAAATTATAGGTTCACAATCAGTTTAACGAAGAAACCGTTCCAAATGCTAATTCGTTTTTGACTTTGAACTTTGTGCATAAGGTGGACCTTAGTGAGTTATGAAAAATTCTAAGAGGGCAAATGCTTGTCTTCTGACCAGAGTTATAGTCATTTCACTGGAATTTCAGTCTACAGGACGGTATACATCGGAAAATTGAAGCATAGTATTTCCAACTGAAGTTTGACCCAGAAATAGGCCTACTTACAGTTAGAATATTCTGAAAATTACAGCACAAAATAATGTTTTCTTAATGAGATATTAAATTTCCAAAAAACAGAAGATTTGAAAACTTAATATCTCGTTAAGGAACCAATATTTTTTGGTGTAACTTTCAGGCTATTCGAATTATAAGTAGATCTATTTCAGGGTCAAGTTTCAGTTGAAAATGCTATCCTTCAATTTTCTGGTGTATACTGTCCTATAGGCTGAAATTTCAGTAAAATGACTATCACTCTGACGAGAAGACTTAAAAGCATTTGTCCTCTTAGCGTTTTCCATATCTCAGTGTAGTCTACTCTATGTACAAAGTCCGAACTTAAAAACGATTTTCATTTGGAACGATTCTCTCGTATGTCGAAAGTCTGGTACATGGATTTATTATTATTTTTTCACTGATTTGGAAAATTTTCTTCTGAAAAAATCCAAAAAAAATCCCAACTATTTTTTCAAATTTTAATTTTTAAGAAAAACTTCTGGAATTTTCCTAAATGAAAACAAAAAACAAGTCTATAGATCATTTTTCTTTGACAATCAGAATTGATTTGGATGCGCCCTTTTTGTTTTTGTGAGACTCATTATGAATAAAGACTGAGTCTAAGTTTGAATGCGAGTTTAGGAACTCCCACTCTCCGCTTACAGACGGCGATGATTGACAGTAGATTTTCTAATCTTATTGATTACCTGGTCTAATAAAATAAAAAATGAATCTATTCAGAAAATGCTTCTCTTTCGTTCAGCGCATTGATTATTAGATTTTCGTGGTCTTAAATTCTCTCTCATTCCTATTATTTTTCTTGTTTGTTAGACTCAGAAACGTAGCCAGGAATAATCCAAACTCGGTGTCCGACTTGTCATGCACGATGCACATCAACACGATAATACCTTTTGTTTTTGCGAAAAGCCTTTTTATCCCAAATTTTCTCCAAGTATTTCCAAGCCAAATGGGATGTACAGGCTCCGCTTGCATCCTTCTGACTGTGCTCTTCGTGAGACGCATATTTTGATTCAAGTTTCATATTGTCGCGTCATCGAAGATACTCTGACAAACTCTTTTTTTCCGATGCAATGTGTTATTTTGGAGAAAAAAGTCGCTCAACGAATACAAAAGCACATTGAATTGTGTATCGAAAGAGTATGGAATAATCGATTTGTGAGATTCAACTCTCATTCGCACGTCTATTTGCTACAAATGAAAAGGCTATTTATATATAGGTTGTTGAACACGATGGAAATATTCGTAGGCAGGCATATCGATAATGGTATAGTGAACAAAGACAATTGTTATGATTGTATCTGGAGAAAATGCAAAGCGTGATATGACGTCCCTTTTTTTTTCGTTGAAATCTTTACTAATTATTTCCTTTTTATTTATATTTAGTTTCCAACTTTGAATCTTTTACAATCAGATCAATCAACATTAACTGCCGATCAATGGAATCTTATCTCAAACATATCACATTGTTATAATGAACATAGTGGACTAGCAATTGGTGAAAGTTTCATGCTTCAACAAAGTATTTTACCTATTAATTTACGTTTTCAAAGTGATTCACTCATCGAATTTTTCCGAATGGAATTAGATCAAACTGAATTATTATATAAAAACAATCGAGATTTTCTTTGTTTATCTTCAAATGATCGTTCTATTTTACTTCATTATACAATTAAATATGTGGCATGTATTTCTTCGAATTTTATTTTTCATTTAATCGGGTTGTGTAATTATCCTTCTTTTTATGAAGCTGTTAGATTAGTTACTAATCCAATTGTAGAAACTACTGTCAAACTTATACAAAGTCTACTTAATTTTGATATAATAACTATGAAATTATTTCTTGCTATTCTTTCATTCTCAACAACAACCTATACAAATACTTCTACAACAACTTTCTCAAATACAAAACAAATATTAGATATTCAAGATAGATATATTGAATTAACATGGAAATATTTACTCTATAAATATAATTTTAATCAAGCTGTTAAATATTTTTCTAATCTTATTCGATGTGTACTTGCTGTCAATGATGCTTTAGCTAAGGCAGATGAAGTTCAATGGTTCACAGAAGAAATAGATTTTCTTGTTGAACAGACCAAACACACTTTGACATTCGACGGTTAAATATTTTCTTTTAATATTGTATCAATTGCATCTACACTATCTCAAAAAATTATTTGGACACTTTTGAGTTCGATTTTGTGTTGCAGATTTCACAATAAAGAAATAACATTTTCTAAACTTTGATTACACGATTCGATAGCCTAAATTCTCTACTTGAAAAAGAAAACATTTTTTTTGTTTGTTATAAGTTTTAAAGTTTTTTCAATCAACTACTTGATTTCCTAGGTAAAAAATGATTTGGACACTTGTATTTCTCCTCTTATAGCGCTATTATTTGATATCAAAATATTTTGAGTTATATCTCATTCGATAAAACAAAAAGAGTCCTCTATATGCTGGTATACTTTACAAACGAAAAAATCCTGATAAAATCTTGAAAACCTCGAAATTCCTAGAGCACTGTAGATTTTTCAGAAAATCTCAACTTTTTCTGGTTAGATAAGGCAAAAACTGAACTTAATATATATATCATTCGATAGAGGAGGACAAACTGAATCGATCTATGTTCTTTATTCACAAAACTAATTAAGTAAAAGAGCTATTAAGTGCCAGTTACAATTAGACGCTTCTGTGAATTCTTCAATAATCTTCTTTTTTCACCTGGAAAATTGGGTTGAAATTTTTTTCTTCGTGCACTTATAATGAGCTTGAAAAGATAGGGTTTTATCATCTTTAAGAAAAGTAGCTAGAGTATATTCAAATACACCATTTTGTAGAGAATTCAATTCTCTATAAGACTATATCTTCAGAAAATATTTTCAAGCTAGTTTTCCAGTGGAAAAATGAAGATTAATAAAGGATTCACAGAAGCGTCTAATTATAATTAGCAATTAGTACCTTTTTTATTTAATTAGTTTTAAGAATAAAGAACATAAATCGATTCAGTTTTTCCTTCAGTTTTTGTCTTATCTAAACAGAAAAAGTTGAGATTTCCTGAAAAACCTACAGTGCTCAAGGGATTTCGAGATTTTATCCAGATTTTTTTCGTTTGTAAAGTATACCAGCATGTAGAGAACTTTTTTTCTATCGACTGAAGTATAACTCAAAATATTTTGATGTCAAATAATAGCGCTATCAGAGGAGAAATACAAGTGTCCAAATCATTTTTTACCTAGAAAATCAATTGGTTGATTGAAAAAACTTTAAAATTTATAAAAACCTAAGAAAAATTTTTTTTTCATGTAGAGTAAAATAGAGAATTTAGGCTATCGAATGATGTAATCAAAGTTTAGAATATGTTGTTTCTTTATTGTGAAATTTGCAACACAAAATCGGACTCAAAAGTACCCAAATAATTTTTTTTAGATAGTGTATATGATATTGAATATTTATTTTATAGTTGTTTGTTTGAACGGTAGATACTAAGAAAGAAAAGATAGATTTTAATCCAAAAATCATTTGGTACTCTAATAATAAAATTGTTTTGTGATTTGTTCAAATATTTCAGAAAAGAATAAAAACAAATGAGAAATTTATCAATCGATTAGAATTTTTTGTATGCGAACGTCGATTTAAGAATTATTTCTTGGCATAGATTTGATATTTGAGTAGTCCGAAAATATCATCAAAAGTTAAAGTTTATAAGTTAAAACTGAAGAAAAACGCATTTTATGACTATTATGACTAAAAATCTGAATAAAATTAGGATTGAAATCGAATTTCCTGTTTTTTTTTACACAGATACAATTGCATCTTTCTAGTATGCAGGTTCGGGTTTGCTCTTATCATTGAGAGTTTAATTTTCATTTTTCCGAAAGATATCAGTGGGCAGCTCAAAAGAATTGTTTAAATATTCCCAACCTAACATGCAAAAGAAAATCGTTAAATCATTTCTGAGACAATCTGATTGAGAGATCAATTTCAACCAATTTCATGTATGAATCGTTCGATCAAAACAAACAACGATATAAATAATTACTATATACAAGGTAGCCATAAGTAAGAAAACGGAGAAAAAATTGTATATCTCCATTAGAGCTCGAGCAAATGAGCCGATTTTTTTTTCACTAATAAATGCATTTCCAAGCCTTTTATCCATAAAGACAAACTTGAAGAGGCTCTTTGTTAAGTATCATCAGAGATCTCAACAAAAACATTTTACATTTTCACACATAGGAGAAAAAAAATAATTTACTGAACAAAGGACCTTTCTAGACATGTCTTTGTGTATATAAAGTTTGAACAAGCCTCTTTATAGGTAAAAAGATCAGCTCATTTGCTCGAGTCGTAATAGAGCTATTCAATTTTTTTTTCGGTAAAGTGACTTTTGTAGCATCTTGTATATTGTTGTTTTACCCTATTTGTGAAAAAGTAAAATTTTTTTGTTGAGATTCCTGGTGATACTCAACAAAGAGTCTTTCCAAGCTTGTTCTCATGGATATAAAGCTTGGACATGTATTTATTAGTAGTAAAAAAATCAGCTCATTTACTGGAGCTCTAATGGGGATATACAATTTTTTCTCCATTTCCTTACTTATGGGCCACCCTATATATATATATTTGATATAAAGAATTATTAGCGAATTCATAGGTTATTTTGTATGTAATATTGATATGTCTGAGCATGGACAAGAATATAAAATAATTTTAACCAACTTGAAGTCCTCAATAGAATATTATATAATCTTTGTTTATTTTTGTTCATGAACAAAGTTAATCATATGACATTATGATCTTTCATCTCAGCTTTTCATATAATAAAAGAGACTTATATAGGTGGACACTTTTTTTTCAACGTTCAACATTATTTTGTGCGACACAAATATTTCTATGTTAAGATGACTAAATTCACACGAGATCATCTGTTCTTGATAAAAATCATAAATAATTGAAAAATAAAGTTTAATGAGAGAAGGATAATCTTCATAAATATATGTTTCCGAACATTATTACTTGATCAAGTTTACATAAATCCTTATTGTTTCAAAGTAGATTTTCATAACAAAAAAAAAATTTGAAAATTTTCTATCGATTCTTTAGAAGAAAAATAATGTCGTACATGACACTATTTGTATTAAAAAATTACTTTATATGTATGATATAAAATAATATTTAAATACATATCTTCAGCAAGTATTCAACATATTTGATATTCTTGTAGAAAGTTTTTGTTTCAATTTTTCGATCGACATTAGGAGAAATATAATGTACTATACACTATTATTTTCATGTAGTTCAGTGGCGTACGCAGAAATTTTTCAAGGGGGGGCCCAACTTCGTAGGGGGGCCGGCCATGGCACAAAAAATTTTTTATCACGTGAAAATATTTTTTCCTGTACCCCCCTCCAGGACTTTTTCGTCTCAAGGGGGGGCCCGGGCCCCCTCGCCCCCCCTGCGTACGCCACTGATGTAGTTTAACTTAAACTCATTGCTATTTTTTTCTGCTGTTGTGCAGAGAGAAAAGAAGATTTTTTGACACGACCTACTATAAAGTACACATTTTTCGACGTGTCGATTTTCTTTCGCCGGCGAGAGAAAGACAAAAAAACCGTATGGTTGTTTTTTTCTCCTTTCATTTCTTTTCTTGCTCCTCGAGTATCTTATCCGTCTGAAGGTAAGTTTCTTGAAGTTAAAAATTAAATGTAGAACAACCATTTGAAGTATGATTTTTATTGGGAATAAGACAGACACATAGTAAAAAAAGTATGATGATGAGTTGAAGTGTTTCAGTTGAAACTGCTGCAAAAGTCGAGCAAAAATTAGATTGATTTGAATTACACATGAGTCAATAGCGCTTATGACACTTATTACGTATATATATATATATATATAGTTTTTAACTTTTTAGAATTTTTTTTAGTGAAAAAATTAAAGAAACAAAACTTATTCTAATTTACGTTGAGTATTCTTAGTTAAAATTATTGTATCCACATGAGTTTGGCAACATTTGATTGTCGAAATCCAATTAGACTTGTTTTCACAAGATTCACTTGTAATCAGACTGATACTTTTGCTTTCTTTTTTTTTTTTGTTACATGGAATTTAAATCATACGATCAATAGGAAAAAAGTTATGCATCGTTAGCATTATTGAAAAAAACACATTGTTCGTATCAATGACAAGATAGAATCATATAATGAAAATTTAACTGCAAAAAAAAGGAATCAGAATAATAAAAAAAAACTGCATCAAATGACCTGTTTTTATTTTTGTCAAAAAAATATTTCCTGTCACAATCTAATCTATACGTGTCTCAGTGCAAAGTTAAGTAAACGCTAGCTAAGGTGGAATGTCGATTACATTTTAAGAGAATATTTCTTCTGTCAAGAATCAGATTATTGAGTACGATTTTTTTTAACCTGATGCTGAATATTGTATTTACTTAATAAAAAGGCAAATTTTTTGCAGTAAAAACTTCAAAATAGGATTCTATTTTGCAATTGATGTAGAAAAAAAATATTTTCTCAACAATGTTAAGAATAGGTAAATATTTTTTTCTTCTATTGATTTGATTGTTCGAATGCTATGGGAACAACAGTTTGAAGTCTTACTGCAAAAAAAGAGATAGATTTGCAAGATAAAGGTTTTAGTCTGATAAAAAATGAATCTTGTGAAAAAAAAGTCAAAGTGTACTACGACTATCAAATGTTACCAAACTCATGTAGATACAACAATTTTAGCCAAAAATACTTAGCATAAATTAGAATAAGTATTGTTTTTTCTTAAATTTTTTTTGCTTAATATAAGATCTAAAAAAAATATTCATAATCAGTGTCGTGAGCTCAATGCACTCATGTATAATTCAAGTCAATCTAAGTTTTGCTCGACTTTTGTATTAGTCGTACTGTACAATATTTCATAATCATCATTTGAATATTTTTCATTCATTTTCTAGATTAAAATCAATTTAAAAAAAAAACATGTTCTCATTATGAAAAGATCATCGTCAAATAAATCAATTGATAAAAAACGACAGTCAACAGTAGTATCAACTGAATGTAAAATTTGTGGAGATTCAGCTGTACATTCATTTTTTGGTGTTGTATCATGTAATTCATGTA